AATACTTAAACTCCTCCACCTCCTCCTCACCCGATGAAGCCAACGGAAACACATCATCTGACTAGAGACGAGATTCTGAAACCACCAAATTGGAGGCCTTCGAGGCTACGCTTAGAAATTCTGTTCATAAGAATTATACACAGAATCTGTGACAAATTCCAGCCCTGCAGAGTCCAACATCCATTGTGAACAAGTTCGAATTATCGCTGGCTCTGCGGACCAAGCGCTTGCAACTGTCCTATAAGGATTGATTGGTAAGCAATGGGCCAGACACCCCAAACTCCCAGAGCACGCTGCACAGGACACTCTGTACTTGTTTTCAGAAAAAGAAAAACTACTCAAGTAGAGTACAAATACCTGAAAATTCTACTGAAGCACAGCAACAAAGCATTTGGTGCTTCCCACGTTTGATTATAGCACCTAAACTCTGGAACAGCCTTCCTCAGATTGGCCGAATCTTTGTTTGTTAAAAAAAAAAACTATAGAAAAGTAATTTTTAAAAATTAGCTTTCTCGTAATCTCTCTCCCATTCTTTTTGGCTGTAAATTTTCATCTAATGAGTGCATATTAGAATGAATGTAAGACTGTTTGTATGTGTCTGTGTGCTGGAAATATTTTAGTTGCAGTAATCCAAACTAAAGCTTTGGAATTGTGTTTAAATAATCTGTCAATCGGTAACTCACTTTTGTGTTGTTTTGCTTTGACAAAAAAATGTAGTTTTTATAAACCTGACTGATGATGTCTTTGTCTCACCTAAATCTGCATTCTTCATCTAGGTGTTAGAAGCAGCTGGTCTTCAGTTGAATTACTCTGATGTGACAGTTGATATTATGGAAACTGCAACACCTGGTGAGTTAAAGGAGGCCGTAATCATCTAGATCTTTTTTTTTCTCATTCTGGTGGTGAATAGATTAGAATAGCCTTTTATTGTCATTGCAAATTGTGCTCCACACAAACTGTGTATGGAATTAAAAATTTAAATAGGACAGCAAGAGAAAAATAACAGATGATATACAAACTACAGAAATATGTACACAACAGGAGGAAGGCACAGATAGAGGACAGGTTGCTTGTAAAGTCCTTTGCAATGTAATGCACTGCATTCATTGTGTAAATAAAATCACACTTGGAATATTTACTAGCCTACAAAAGCAATCATAAACAAAGACTTTTTTAAAGTGTCTTTTCTGTTTTTGTTCATTTCAGCTTTTTGAAGCGGAATCGTAATCTGCGTTCCCTGTTGTGTCAAACACATTTGTTTATGTCGGGTTTTTTGTTTTTTATTTTTCACATTGAGTATTTATTATTATCATTATTATTATTATTATTATTATTATTATTATTAATGATATGATGATAGTATAATGATAATAATAATAATAATAATGGATTGCATTTATATAGCGCTTTTCGGGGCCCTCAAAGCGCTTTACAATTCCACTATTCATTCACTCTCACATTCACACACTGGTGGAGGCAGCTACAGTTGTAGCCACAGCTGCCCTGGGGCAGACTGACAGAAGCGAGGCTGCCATATCGCGCCATCGGCCCCTCTGGCCATCACCAGTAGGCGGTAGGTGAAGTGTCTTGCCCAAGGACACAACGACCAGGACAGAGAGAGCAGGGGGATCGAACCGGCAACCTTCCGGTTGCAGATGAGCTGCCCAATCCCCTGAGCCCATTGTGTAGCAAAGTGAGAGTTGACCAGCAGAGATAAGAAAGGAGATGGAAACACGATTTAAAATAGAGGATGAGCACAATTGGTCTCCAACTGTTGCATCTGTAATAAAATACAGTAAGAAAGAGAAAAGACAAACATAGATTGTTGCTGTGCGTATGTGTGTCATGAAACATACTTGATAAAGACTGAAAAAACAACCCCTGGGAGCCAGTAGAAAACATAGGAAGGCCCAGGACGGAGGCGGTCGCACTTTTCTTCCTCTCCCTTATCTTTCCTGCTTGGCTTCTTATGTCTTTTGTATAGACTTGCTTATCTCTAACCCTCAAAGAGTTTCTCAGACTTGTTCTCTGAAACCTAAAGAATTATGGATTTGATCAACTGGTCCTGTAACAGAATTGACACCCTGCTGGGCTTGGGAGAGCCCAATTGTCCTGTGGAGACGTTTGCTGCCGGATACTCGATGGTCGGTTGCGTCGTGTGTCTGGCGACACTCGATGGAGGACATTGGAGGACATCTATCAATTTGGAACCACGATAACAGAGTTCTGGCTGACTGGAGTTGGCTCGGTCCTGGCTTATTGAAGTACAAGAAGCAGCTACAGCTGTTCAAAATCCCACAAGGCTGGCCGACATGATAGACCATGGGGAGGGCTGTGAGTACTCAGACTGTGCAATATGGATAATCTTGGAGAAGAACAATGGGAATTGAGAGACCTTGGTGACCAGTGACGGACATTAGACCAACTGTAAAAATTGGATGCAGTTGTTCGCACTAAACGCAAACATTCACCATCTTCACTCATGCAGCTATCCCAAAGGCGCCAGCTGAAGGCTGCCAAGGTGGAAGCTGACTGGAACAGCAAACATTCTCCATGATTTGAATGTGTTTATTTAAAAGGGACAGTGCAGTTTAACATAGTTCAAGTACAAAACATGAAACTGATGTAAGGCACATAAGTTTATAGCTATTGCTAATTTTGCAACACATACACACGTACACT